AAGAAATTGCACCATTATCTGCCTGAAAATACTATTTTCATCAGATGAATTCTGTAAGATTTTATTTGTGACTAATGGAGAAGATAATGGAAAGTCAATACCTAAATTTTAACTAAGAATTTTTTAAAAATTTATTTTAGACAATGTGCTCTGTGGTCGTTCAGATATATGCAGCAGAACGTAATGCTATGTGGTCAAAGAAATGCTGTGGTGTAGCTTGCCTTGTAAAAGACAATCCACAAAGGTCCTATTTTATCAGAATATACGATATCAAGGTAAAAACTGTTCCTTTGCCATATTTAGTTTATATTTTATTGTTTATATCCTACGAAAATGTTGAGTCTTAGGCAGTTGCATATAATTACAAATTGTTTAAATATTAATTGCTAAAGCAATATGGATAAAGAGAACTATGCATAAAGCAAGCACTTTTGTTTTTCATATTCTGTTCTATTGCAGATATTGTTTTCTTGCTGAAAGTACAAACAGCTTAGTTTTTTGCATTTACAACTTTAGAAAAAAAATCTGGCCTGTTTGGACTGGTACATGTTCTATTTTTGAATTTTGTCCATATTTGTTTTAATAGTCTCTGAGACAGTACAAGTTTATATGAGAATTGTAGCACATTTTCAGATTTATACTGCAAAAGTACAGGTTACCAAGAATTTAAGCTAATTTTTAGAATAGAATTTTAATCTGAAAACAAAGTCATCAAAAAGAATATAAATACTTAGAATGTATAAAGGGGAGATATAAATCCATACATATTTGCTTATAATAATTTATTGTCTCAATCTTCTTCCCTTCTCCTTCTGCCCCCTCATCACTCTTGCAGGATGGAAAACAATTGTGGGAACAAGAATTATATAATAACTTTGTATATAATAGTCCTAGAGCATATTTTCATACCTTTGCTGGAGATGTAAGTATTTTCAGGAGTTAATTTGGAAAAGTTATTACTTTATGTTAAATCTAATCTCTTAAAGTAACCTATGAAATATTAAGTAATTTTACTTGATGTCTATATTTCTATTGATTATCTTCAAACTTTGTAATGTTCAAATAAAACTGTATGACTGGTTTTTACTTGAAATGTAATTTATGTTTAATGTTATTTTTAGTTAGCTTATAACAGAATAAAAGTATTCCTAATTCCAGACGAGATCAATAATGGGAACAAAATCTGAAGCCTACTTTTTTCAGTGGTTTTTTTGTTTATATAGTTGCTGAAGTGTACATCTTTATTCCCTATCTTAAGTTGATCACAAACATTATTGTTTTTCAGACATGTCAGGTGGGTCTTAATTTTGCTAATGAAGAAGAAGCTAAAAAATTCCAAAAGACAATAACAGACCTACTTGGACGACGGCAGAGAAAATCTGGTACTTATATAGTTTTTCAGTGCTTGTTTATCTTGTTTGTAGTTCTAGCTTATAATAGAAAACCTTTGGCCTGTGGTCATGCCCAATTAATCTGTGCCCTCCCTACTTTGCTTTATAACAGTTCGGCTTGAACAAGTTTTCAATTAATGGAGTCTGTCCAATACAGGTAATCCCTGAGTTATGACAGTTCACTTAGTGACCATTCAAAGTTACGTGATAACCCCCCCAAGTATTTATGACACAATCCCGAAACTATGAATGTTGCAGCACCACGGCAGCCATTCACCCTTATGAACGACCGCAGAGGCACTGCAACATTCATCCTGCCTATCCCCCCCCCCCGCTCTCCACAATTGCTTCTCCCCTCCCATCCTGCTGCACTAGGTCACTTATCTTGCAAAGATCTGTCTCCTCTCTGCCGTGGTTTCTTTGACGATTTCGCTTCCAGCATCTGATTGGCTTGCAAACATTTTTCGCGTGCCAAGAGTGAAATATTGGGCACCATGATCTCGCAGGACTTCAGGCCATGGGATCATGGCACTCAGAAGTTTCCAGTCTCCAGACAAAATGTTGTGGCTCCGTCCGGTGGGTCCCTCTCATCAGAGGAGGAAGGCTCTGAACATGAAGGAGAGGAGATGGCTAGGCCTCCCTCTCCAGGCCCTTCCCCTCTGGTGCAGCCTTCGGTGCCTTCCGACAGCGAGGAGTTTGGCCAGGAGCCCGGTGTTTCTGGGATTGGCCAGGAGCCCGGTGTTTCTGGGATTGGCCANTTACACTACTGGATATCGTTCTGATTACAGAAAGTTTTCCACGAGTCTTCTAGCATAAATGTTTTAATATGAATTCCTGCATGAAGTAGCAGATTGAACTCTGTATTCTAACTGACCTTTTCCAACACTATAATTCCCACAATATAGATTTACTGACAGATAAAGATTTTAGAATGAAAAATGATATAATAAGGGACAGAGCATCCTGTTTTTGTTCCCTTATTATATCAAGATGTATTTTTCTTTCTTTCTTTTTTTACGAATGATGAGATAAACCATGTCAGAGTTGCTTCAGAATGTAGGTGGGAGATAACTTGTTTTGTTCCACTGGGGTGGGGTACTAAATTACTGCACATTTATTTATTTATTTTAAAAAAAGGTTTAAATGCATTTTACTGAGGATGAGTTGCCTTTCAGTGAAATAGAAAATAAGTTTAAAATCCATCTTAAATTTTATTTTGTTCAAATTAAGAACTCAGGTGTAGTAGTTTAAAAAGAGTGCATTGTTGTGGTCCTTTTGGATATAATTTGCATAAGTGGTGGAGGAGTTAGTGCATATCCTTTTTATAATATATTTGAAATTTTTGAAGTTTTAGATAAAATACTTGCACACTTATTCTTAAATATGTAACTTCTGTAGGTCTAACATTTTAATTGTTAAAAATCTTACTGCACAATATAACACATTGCTTCTCTTTAATATGGTACAATGTATGGTATGTACACATTTGTGAACTATAAATCTAAAAATTCATATATATTTTAAATGAGGTAATTATAGGAATGCTACACTTTCGATTACTCTTTTTATTTACTTGTCTAGAATTGTATACATTCAGTTGTATTGTTTTTGTAGAATAGAAACAATGGATCAGCAAACTGTCCAGAATTACTAAAATATTGAGAGAAATTTGGGAAAAAAATGTCACTTCTTGACAGCAAGTTGTCTGTGTGTTTCTCTCACTTTTTTTTTTTTTACTGTCATTTACACTGGGAAACTGACTTTTTAAGCTAGTTAATAGTGGTCCTGTAAAGGGATTATCTAGAGGATCTGGAATCATTTACAGGCCATTAGAGATTACTTAAAACCTTTACTAAAATGGATGAAATATTGATTAGTTTTTTTCTTAACTTCATGCATGAATGGAATGATACTCTTGTGTGTTTTACCCCCTAACAGAGAAAAGGAGAGATCTACCAAATGGTAAGGTTTTTATTAATAACTATAACATGATCATCATTGTTACATTACTGCCATCTTTAATGTGCATTTCTGAGAATGATTAGAATGCCCGTATTTTCAGTTGATAATACGAATGCAACAGTGAAAAGTTACAAATTACGATGATTTTAATTTTATTTTTACAATATAAAACATGTATACTACTTGTATGGGAACATACTAAGTCATCTTTAACCTGTGTTAAACATATTAACAATAGATTGTTATAATTCAAAATTCACTGAGAAATTTTAGTTGATAAGTAGGAAAAAAATAAAATATCTGGTTTTGTTTGGTAAGAATAAATTGCATTCTATGTTTACATCTTTTGATGAGATTAAGTAATATAGCATAGTAGGAGAGAAGATTCTTTGTTTTCCAAAAACACTACAGTGTAGCATTTCTGTACATAATACTTTATGCAATAATATCTAGCTCAGGTGTAGGATGAGGGCGAAGGTTCATTGTCCGAGCTTATGGAAGGAGCACATGCCTTCCCCAACAACGGCAGAGCATCAACTCCACTCTTTGAGGACTTGCAAGCTGCTGTTGCCACAGGTCTTTAATACATAGTCCTTTATGCACAGTCTTTTAATACTCAGTTGAAACAAAAGTCTCAAGGTCTATAAAGTAGCATACAACCTTTGCTTTTTTCCAAAAGTTCTGGCAATATTTGGGATGAGGTGCTGTTTCAGTGTGATTGTTCCTCTTCTAGTTGCTACTGAGCTCTTGGCAAACCTCCAAGCTCCAGACAAGATTCCTACCAGTATATGCTGCAGGACTCCTACCAATATATGTGGCTCATCATAGCTTGTGGTCCTGGCAATTGAATGAAATAAGCTTGTAATAGCTGCCAATCTCCAGATGTTGCCCACGCTTCCCTGTAGGCACTTGCTTTCACCTTTCCTGCTATACACACCCCTCTTCCCACTTTCTCTTAGCATTTACTTTTCTAAGCTCAAAAGACTGAGTGGGGTGAGGCTGCCTCTGGAGGTCAGCATGACTTTGAAAATGCCAGTTTTGATCAATTAGCCAGGAAGCTTGAACACTGGCTTGGATGCCTATGAGTATAGTTCTGAGGGGATTTTATTTATTTATTTTATTAATCAAATTTATAAAGCATGAATACTTGAAGGAAGGGGGGGGGGGAGAGATTGTCTGCATGACTGCAGCTACTTTTGAAAAGACCAGATAGCAATCCTAATCTCACTCTCTCACAGTAGAATTAAATTGGTATTGAATGCATTGCAGATAGCCCTTATCTTACCATAGTTTGTTTAATAACTTAAAAAAAATAATTTTTAATTTATTTGTTTCAATTTTATCTTTATAAACAACTCAAGTGGCAGACACTTAATCCTCCTTCCTTCTGCTATTTTCTCAACAACCCTATGAAGTGAGTTGGGCTGAAAAAGGGTGACTGGCTCAGGGTCTCACCCAGTTGGCTTTCGTGGCTAAGGCAGAACTAGAATTCATGTTCTCCTGGTTTCTAGTCTGCTGCTTTGTGACTTATGACCTGTCTCAGACTTACAACTATCACACCATCTCTGTGGTCATGTGATTGCAATTCAGGCATTTGGCAACCGGCTCGCATTTACAATGATTATAGCATTTTGTAGTCACAGGATCACAGTTTGTGACCTTCCCAGCTAGATTCCAAGAAGCAAAATGAAATGGGGAAGCAGGATTAATCCATTTAAGAATTGCAGTGATTCGCTGCATTAAAATTGGATCCTTGTTTTGATGACTCAGTTAACAACCATATCGCTTGGCAACCAAAATGTCAGGCCCAATTTCGTTGTAAGTCAAGAATTACCTATAACCTATAAATTCTTCAGCTTTGTGCTTCCAATGCTGTTGGTAACAACAACAGAAAATACTGTGAATGAAGCATTTATTGGAGTGAAAATGGGGATTTAACAGAATTAGTTTTTATATTCTGGAGTTGTATCATCCATTTTCATTTTTAATGTATGTGATGGATTAGAATCTGATTTATTGTATAAAAGACTACCCCTTTTGAAGAGCAGCTGGGGAATACCCAGGATCTCCAAAACATGATAATTTATGTTTTGGGAAAACTTGAAGATGGAGAAGATATCAACCCAGTGGATATTTGTAACTGCTGTATTGTCAAGTTGTCCAAAGGATGAACTCATAGACATCTTTGATCTTCACTAACTTTTGCCGATGGGAAGGTGCTTCTGTTGTGATGGCAGAGGTTTCTGTGTTGGATACCAACATAGCAGTGTTAGAAGGGGAAATTCCTTATATTTGTGGTATAAACAGCCAGGTTCTAATTAGAGTGGATAGTTTGCTTCTTAACAGACTAAAACTTTCTTTATGTAGGTTATTAATGGATATATTGCAAGTAAACCGTTTGCTTAGTATTCATTCCTAGTAATACATGGATGTAAGTCAAATAAATAGAGTGTCTAATTTCTGGGTGAAACTGCTTAGGATTGCACTCTAAAATAAGTTAGCTATTGTGTGTATTCAAAATCTTTTTATAATGTCTCCATTTTAATCAAACACTCATAAGATTCTTACATTTTTCTCCACTCAAGAAGGATATTGATATCTACTGCTGGAGCAATTGCTAGGTGATTCAAAAACTTTGAAATATATTGTTATGAACCTTTATATATAATATTTCCTTGTTTTGAAACATTCTACAATGCTTTTCAATATTGAAGCCAACAGATTATCAAAAGAAAGAAAAATCAATTCAAATCAAGCATACAGTCTAGTTGTATTCTTACAGGTCCAAGTCTGCCAATGGCAACTGTTGACATCAAAAATCCAGAAATCACTACTAATAGGTTTTATGGTTCACAAGTCAACAATATCTCCTATACCAAAGAGAAGAAAAAAGGAAAAGCAAAAAAGAAAAAATTGACAAAGGCAGATATTGGAACTCCAAGCAACTTCCAGTAAGAATGCCTGTTTAATTTGTTAACATTTTAATTTTACAAAAGAAAAAAAGCTCCACAGATGTGTTTCTTTGCATCTCAGTACAAAAATCAATCATAATCCTACCTGCACAGCAAGAGTTCCTTGTATTAAGTGTCCTATAATAATTACCCTTCAATGCTCCATTTAAAAATCAAAGCCTTGATGGCTTATGTAGTTAAATGAAAAAGTGTTAGTATAAGAAAATACAATATTGAATCCACAGAAAGAAAGAGGAACAAAGAAGGATGGTGAACTCTAATAGAACACAAAACCAGTACAATATTAAATTATATATCTTTCTTTAAAAGCTATTCTATGTATGGTGCTTCCCTTCCTTCAGTTGAGAGTCTCAGCATTTGCTAATTTTAGGATGAATGGGATGAATATCTAGATGATAGTATCTGATAAATTTATGATTTGATTACTCCTGTCACAGAAAAGTCTAAGCCATTTTGGAATCTGTAGAAAATTAATAAGTATAGAATCCATTTCATTATTATTTTAACATTTTCTATTTTTTTCTCAGATCAGTGAAATAATTGTAACAACTGTTTATCTGCTTGCCAGTCTTAACCTCATGTATCTAAAGTATTTTTTTTCTCCTTATTTCCTTCTTATCAGACACATTGGCCATGTTGGCTGGGACCCAAACACAGGTTTTGATGTAAGTAAGCATGGTGAAGATTTACGTTAATCTTTTAACATATAAAGCTTAATTTCTCTGACTACTGATTCATTAGATGGACATCCTGTTGTTCTAAAGCAAAAATAGAAAAGTAGTTCAACTGTGATCCGTGTATTTGGGTTGCAGTCTTCAACAATTTAACCCAAATTTATTTATTTCTCAATTTAAAAAACAAAACAGAAATTCACGTGTCTCAGAGATTTCAGCATTGTTTACTTACTTTAGTAGAATTCAGTATTTCAGACATTTTTATACAAATTATGTCACATTTAGTCACAACAATGGATTTGCAATTAACTATGATAAAATTTCCTGTAGGTTAACAATTTGGATCCAGAATTGAAAAACCTATTTGATATGTGTGGAATTTCAGAGGCTCAGCTGAAAGACAAAGAAACTTCCAAGGCTATATATGATTTTATTGAAAAAACAGGAGGAGTAGAAGCAATTAAAAATGAATTGCGTAGACAAGGTGAGCCTTCTTATATTCATGCAGACTATTGATTATGCTTTTTAATCTCTAAATAATATTTAGAATATTTAAATAGGGTAATTTAAAAAGTGCTCTCTAGATTTAAAAATCTATTTGCAATTTGTTAAAATATAGTTATAGTACTACGTCATATTTGCAAATATATCACATTATACTACAGAGGATATTTTCTATTATTTGAGCCACAATCTCTGTAGCCTATAACATATTTCTACAATTCATTTCAACAAACATTTTGATATTTCCACAGTGGAATAACAGAGCCAAAAATAAGAATTCAAATTTTAAAATATACCAAGTAATGTATATATCTATATATCTTTGTTGAATTATCACCATCATCATCATCAAATGTCTCTAATGGTGGAATATAATTTTATTGGACAACAAATATTTATAATATTATAGTGCTTAACATTGTATGAGCATTGAATACATGAATACTTTTATCATGCTAGAGTGAGGGTCGTGCAGTGTATTATCAGTCTCATTTGGTTGAATATAAGATATGAGGGAATGTGGTAGCCTTCAGAGAAAGTTAATATATGCTACATTTATAATCTAGGCCCACCACGCTGCAGTGGTATGTATGAATTTAGTCTTTTTAATTTTCATATACCTTTTTACTTAATAGGAAGACAATCCCCCCAATAATTAACTATGAATTAATAGAGTATACATGTGTGTGTGTGTGTGTGTGTGTGTGTGTGTGTGTGTGTGTGTGTGAGAGAGAGAGAGAGAGAGAGAGAGAGAGAGAGAGAGAGAGAGAGAATTACCTTATATTTTCTGAGAAGTATAGAATACCCTGTCAAAATAAGTGGTGGCTGCATTCATCACTGTTATGAAGGGTGAATGTCTTTGAACATTAACTAGATGGAAGGGAAGATTTCCAGTTACCTTTCCCCCTTTTTCATGTCAGCCCAGTCTCTCTTATCCCATAGCCACATTAGTTGCTATTTTTTCACATTTTGGATGGAAGGAAAGAAGAAAAGCTAGTTTGTATATGACCTTTTGTATTCCTGTGTGAAAGAAAATGATTGATGCATCCACTTGGAATCCAGTTTGTTTTATAAATGGAATACCTTTTTCAGGGACAATTGGCTTGGATTAATTGACGGTCTGGGGTCCCTCCCTAGTCCCCCCCCCCAATTTTGGCTTTTTTTAAAGTGTGGGTTTTGATAACACATTTATCATCTATCTATCTATCTATCTAGGTAGGTAGGTAGGTAGGTAGGTAGGTAGGTAGATAGATAGATAGATAGATAGATAGATAGATAGATAGATAGATAGATAGATAGATAGATAGATAGATAGATGTACTGTATATATATTTGTGTGTGTGTGTGTGTGTGTGTAAAGGTGAGGAAGCATGGTACACAATCTTTTATCTGGATTCATAGGGTTGCCTCCTATCCATTCTTCTTTCAGAGTTGTCTTCCTTTTGGGTAAACGTGGTATTAGCATTTAAGTTTCAGCTATGATTTGTATACATAACTATGCTTTATTGGCACACTCTAATTAATCTTTCTAAGGATACTAACTGACTTATCTCAATATTTCTCCAATTCAATATTTGCAGATTATGTGTAAGACTTGTATAATAAGAAATTATCACTGATTGAATGCTTGTATCTTGAGGTCTTGATTAAACTATCTTGTGTAACTGATTTTTCTTAGTCTAATAGCAAGCCCCTCTACTTACAACGACAATCAATACTAGTCGTAGCTGAATGAAATGCATTTACCAATATGGCTTTGTGACCAAACTGTTCAGTATGTGCTCTGGACCCACTAGTGGTGGGGATTGTGCATAGAACATTGGGTATCAAATATGTGCAAATTTGCTTAGATTTTTCATTATCCGGCTCTCCTGAAATGATATGTACCAAAGAAAATGATAATGAAGCTTCCCATTATGTATTGCATCTTGACTCTGCACTTTGTTGCTTTAACCACTTGGAGTTTTCTGCACATCTTACCCAAATTGATCTATATATATCACTTTAGCTTCCAAGTTATGGTAATTTACTGGATCTATCTTTGAGCTATAGTGGAACATAGTTCTAATGCTTCAGTTGATCATTTTATGGGACTGGAGATTGACTGATGTGTATTTTGCCTTTTGTTTTAAATTTTAATATGTTTTACATTTTTTCAGAATAACAAATGGGTACCGGTAATACTAGATAGAATTTTTTTTAAACAAATAAGCAAACATCTCCATAGATAAAAACATTTGTAACAGAATGTAACATTTAAATAAAAATATTGCCCATTGAATATATTTATTAGATATTAAAATTAAAGTTCATATTATAATTGGGAGAAATAGTATTATCATCTGCTCTTTTTAACTGATTGCAACAATAAGTGTAAGTGGCAGAAAGTTAAACACAATTTAAGAGAATCTTCAGGGAGTATGTGAAGTATGGATGAATGCTTTTTAAGATAATTGGTATTTTGAATAGCATCGGTCTTGGCTTCAGAGAGCTATCTCATAGTGAATAAATACTTTTCTGTGTCTTTGGATTGTTTTTGGTTTCAGCTCCACCACCACCTCCACCATCTAGAGGTGGTCCACCTCCTCCTCCACCACCACCACCACCACCACATAGCTCAGCCCCCCCTCCTCCTCCTGCTAGGGGAAGAGGAGCTCCTCCCCCACCACCTTCAAGAGCTCCAATAACAGCACCCCCTCCCCCACCTCCTTCTAGACCTGGTACTACAGTGCCACCACCTCCACCAAATAGGATATATCCTCCTCCTCCACCAGTTCATACTTCTGCTCCCCCTGCCCCCCCTCCTCCTCCTCCTCCATCATCAGGTGGTTCTTCTGGACCTCCACCACCACCACCTCCCCCTCCTGGTCCTCCTCCTCCACCTGGTCTTCCATTAGAGGTTGACCAACAATTTCCAGCTCCTTCAACAAATAAAACAGCTCTTTTAGATCAAATAAGAGAAGGTGCCCAATTAAAAAAAGTAGAACAAAACAGTCGTCCAGTCTCCTGTACCGGAAGAGATGCACTACTTGATCAAATACGACAAGGTATACAGCTGAAGTCGGTGAGTATCATTCTTTCTGGCTTCAAATTTCTAGATTATTTTTAAAGCCATTTTCCTCTATAGGTAGCCCTCGACTTACAGTAGCAATTGGGACTGGAATTTCCATCACTAAACAGTGTGGTTGCAAAGCACAACTGCATCACTTAGCATCAGCAATCCTGCGGTCCACAGTTGTTAGGCAAAACAACTTCCTGCAGGCTTCCCACAAGAAGTGGGGAAGTCAGCAGAAAGTTGTAAGTCCTAGTCTGACAGACAGGTAAATGGCTCTTGCTCTGTACGTGTGTGTGTGTGGTTGTGGTTTTGTGTGTGTGTGTGAGAGGGGGGGAGAGAGGGATGTGGCTCAGGGAGGCTGCAGGCAGATGCAAGGGGTTTACAAGTTTTTGAAATGTGCTTATTGGTTATTATTTCCAAATTATTAGACAACAATCAAATGCCTCTAAATTAAACTAATAGTGAAAGAAAATGGTAAGATATTTCAGGGAATATTTCCACAAAGAGAACAAAATCATCTTATATACTATAACTTCTGCAAATATATTTGAATAATAATTAAATGAATTTACCAAAGAAGTAGAGTTGTCCTTTCTGTGCTCCAGATGAACCAGGAAACAAGGCAATTTAGTTCTTATGTTTTGAGGTTCATTGTTCATCTTCGCCTGTTCAACTGATCTTTTCTCTAGTTCTTTTTAAGAGAGCTTAATTTTTTCAAAGAAGGTTCATTTTGGAGCTTTTTTCAAGGTTGCTTATTTTTAATTTTTGCTTTATGTACAAAAATCTGCACCCTCAAATATCAAAAACTATTACCTTGGAACTCTAAAATATAGTTGATTTTAAATATTTAAAGCTTTTATCAGCCTGTTTTTTAAGAACATCTAATATTTTACCACCTGTTCCACCTTAGGCATAAAATCTCTCCCCCCCCCTTCTTTCACCCTCTTGATGTATTGATAAAAGTAATGAAGAAAGGATATATATATATATATATATATATAAATAAATAAATAAATAAATAGGCTTCTGAAAAAATATGAATGTTTACTAAGTGCTGTTGCATTCATTCTTATATATTTAATATTGCTTAAGGTATCTGATGGCCAAGAGACTGTATCAGCTACATCTGCACCTACGTCAGGTATTGTGGGTGCACTAATGGAAGTTATGCAGAAAAGGAGCAAAGCCATTCATTCTTCAGGTAGGTCAGGAAATCAACATTTCTAACCCTAACCATCAAGTAGGAAAAAACTTTTTATCTTTTATCTTTGCAGCACTGCTAGATGCTCAGCATCTTCAGAGGCAATTTCTAATCTGTTTTATTCCCTTTGGGAAGTTTCATGAAAGGGGTAACCTTTTAGCTTTGGCCATTAAAATCCACGTAGCTGAATGTTTAAAGAGATGGTTCTTTCTTTAGTGCATGACAAAGTTCTGGCTTTTGGAGATCCCAGCAATAATAGGTCTCCAAGCTAAACAGTCAAACAAAGGCTTAACCATTTTGATTAGTTTTGCTCTGTCACCTCGAAGGAAGGAAGGAAGGAAAAAAAGAAAAGAAAGAATCAGAGGACTTTCTGTTTTTGAAATGAGAATAAAACATTGCATAAGAGGAAATGAAAAGAGAAATGATGACTCGGGAAATAGGTTTCCTTTTCTTGAGTAACCTGTTGGCTGGAAATCATTAATTGGATTGACAAATGATTAAAAGATACTCATAAATCTAATGAGCTCAGACTCCGGCTTTGGATATGATTTTCAATGCATGAGTACTTAGCCAAACATTAAAATTTAATTAAGATTATCTCCTTTTTATATAATGAATAATTTTATCACTTTAGCAGTCAGATTAACTGGGTGACCCTTTTTAACAACAAATGCAAACTTCTCTTTTTCACAATCAAACTGAGAAAACGCTTCTAAAACCGGAATCCTATAATTTGATAAATTAAACTTAAATTCAATTGTTAGCTTTTTCTTCCTCCAACAAGTTGATGGAGTGTCACTGAAGGAGCAGAGCAATCCTGAACCCAAAACAACTTGTTCATTAAGGCCTTCACTTACAAATTAGAAGTCAGGTTTGTACTTTGAATGTGTGATTGTTTCATCTAACACTTAGATTCTAATTTGCATAGACGTTTATATTTTATGGTAAAATGCTGGTTAATTGATAACCAGCATAATTTTACCAATATTTGTCTTTACTAAGACTTTTAAGTTTTCTTTCCAAATAATATTTTTCTATCAACAGATGAAGATGAGGATGAAGATGATGAAGAAGACTTTGAAGATGATGATGAGTGGGATGACTGATCAATATATTATATCGTATATATATTTTTACGGTGAAATACTAAACTACTTTCTGTCTATGGATTCTGTAAAATTATCATGTAAATGTTTTACCAATTTACTGTATATTTTTGTTGCCTTTTGCTTTTTTATTAATCTGTGCAATACCTCATTTAATCTGTAAAGGTTTGTCATCCTATACAAGGTTACTCCCTTCTAATTATGTAAAAGTTTACATCAGATGCCTAGTGTACATGTGAATACTTTCCATTCCATCAATAAGGGAGTTTTAATGTAATCTGTGAGATTGACAAACACACCTTAAATGTATTTAGTTATAATTGCAAGAAGGAAAACACTATTTTCATACCCTACTTTTTCTGTATCTAGATTTTCTTATTAAAACCTAATATAGCACTACATACTTTAAGCAATGCAGCTCTTAGTTTTAGCTTCTTCATCTGGGAAACTAAGCTTCATGGATGAGGCTGATAAAATGATGAGCATTTCAACACTACCATTCAGATTTAGTCTTCAACCTGTAAAGCAATCACTAGAAAAATTAAGTGGTCATGAAAATTTTCCCTGATCTGGAGCATTGTTGCCTATATCAGAGCTTTGATACCTGAATACTGAATTTAAGAATAGTCTGTTTGGTCAATAAATCTGATAGAAACCACCTTTGTGACTTTTCCCAACTGTCGTTCATGACAAAGAGGAGTCTACATTTTTTGGCAACTGCTGCAGTCATTATTTATTTTTATATAAGGTTTTTTACTGAAGGGCTGTAGTTGATGTTTGCTTTGAATAATAATGGTTGTAAATTAATTTTTTTTAAATGTAGGGCATTGGTATGCTAATAAATGAACTTAAGTAGTGTAACTCTGCAGTTTTCATGGATTGCGGGACATGTCAACACAGTTAGACACTGGATCCTATAACTAAAATAAATAGAGATGGAGCCTTAAACCCATACCTTATTGATTGTGACAACACTAGATGATAGAAACTGTTGCTAAAAGGCCAATGAACATCTTGCTGATGTTTCTATTTTTCTGAACTTGGTCTCTATTTGTGTTATCCAGATCAGTGGGTGGGCACTCTTTCATCAAATACAGTATTTCTCACAGGCTCCTATGGTTATTCAAGCATGTGGGTCAGTGTTGCCTTGTTTCCTTTTGACTCTAAATTGCTAGACTTCAAAGCAAGAGTAAACAGAGCTGATTGAACTCTTTATCTTTTGCTTTGAGGGGGAGAGGTTCACTACTACAAGGTTTATAAGCCACTTTTTTATATATACCAAATTTGCACATTGCAGTATTTCACTAGAAATAAGGGATGTGGTCTTAAAAGTTGGGTGGTCCTGCACTTGGAATTGCATTCCAATATATGATGGGAAAATTTGAGTTTTCATTTTAATTTTTCATCTTTACTAGGAGACTTAATATTTGGACTATTGCTTATTTTTCATGCAGTATTGCATTTAAGATAAGCTTTATCAATGCTAATACTCTACTAGCAGTAAGAATACACTTAATAAATGCAGAAGGTTTCAAGTGAAACATACTTGGAGTACAATTAATCCCTGCTTGCTTCCTTCTTCATTTTTCTTCTGTTCAGGACATATTGGATAGAATTATCTTTATTGAAATCCAGTGTTGGCCTGATCTTAGCAGGCTGGACCTGCATGATTTGGCCTGGATGTTTAATGCAGTTATAATGTATGTCTAGTATTTGGCTTTTTACTTCTGTAAGAAGGATGGGATTTAAACAGTATGCTGATGAAAGAAGATGTGGTAAGCAGAAGTTAAACTATTCCAAAGGGAATAACTAATTTGACGCAAACAACTTGGAAAGGAACATTTTCAAAGTATCTTCATTTCAGTTGTATCTCTGGCGCTATTTTGTGCTAGAACAACTTTTCAGTTAGGATTGCTGCTAGTGGGCTTGAGAATTGTGAGTATGTAATGATGCTATGGAGGTGGGTTAAGAAGTTATGCACATGAGAGAAAATATTAGTGGCCTGCAGTACAGCCAGTAGGCTTTCCTCTCTAGTTTCATAGAGGACATTTAAAGAGTTGATATTGCTCAATTGGTCTCCAGCAATATTATTTGTAAATTAAGCACATGTTTCTAAAGTTAGAAGAGTTTGAAAAGAGATACTATTTTGAGGATACTTATGTAATCCATTAATCATTTACCCAATAATTTTTCCCTCTATAGAAAGTATATCTACGTTATTGCACAAACATTCAACTGTTTTGCTTTCAGTAGCATATTGTATGATTTTAATTTAAAGCATGAACGCAGTTACAATTAGATTTAAGGTCACAGCTGCATGTTTCTACTTTCCTGCTCTTGATGTGGGCAGGAGGCAATGTTTCTTGTCATTGAATCACTACTGCTAACTCTTGCAACCAGGGCAGCCTTTTGCATCAGTTAAATTGACCGTCCGCATAGCCTTGCCAAGTAGCGAATGAGCCTAAGGACTGTCTCTGAACATTGCGCTTAGACAATAGCATCTAGTGACTTGTACTCTGAAAACATCTCAATCATTCAGTTTTCCATTTCATCAGATTGAACTTCTTGGTATGTGAATTTCCTTTTGGGCTCTTCTTTTTCCTCTTCTTTGGAAATGTACAGTGAATAGGATGTTGCACTGGTGGCAATTCATCATGAAGCATAATAAAATTAATTTGTCTCAGTATAATAGTATGGTGTGACTTTTATGACTTCGCTTAAGGGTGGTTTGAAATCTGTTGTGTTGCTCAAAAATTGTTCCAGATATTTCCTTAAATTGGCTTCAACAAATAACTTACATATGTCTATAGCATTATAATGGGCTAATTAAGATGACTGAAAACATATAAATGCTCTGACACTTCTTCCTAATGTTTCCCAAGGGAAAACACTTTTTCAGTAGGACACTTCTGCTCCCCATTCTCACTCTAGGACCATTGCCATTGGATGCCCGATAAGATGACCTTTATTGTCATTTTTTTCCTGTGAACATACTGGCACTCTTTAAAAAATGAAATTCTGTGGAAAGGATCTTAATTATTGTTTCATAGTAAATAAAATTGTGTTTATAGCATGCCAGGGGAATAATTATAATACTAATTCACTGAATAATAGTAATGATAATAGAAATGCCAGATTATTGAACTAGAATTCTCAGAATCTTAAATTAGTTGTACTGATTTAGAATTCTGGAGGCTGAAAGCCAATGCATACAAAGTATTATCAATTGAAGAAGACGGTAGGCCTTAAACCAGTGATTCTTAAATGTGGGGGGGGGGGTAATTAGAGTGAGACACAGGGGTCTCACTCTCCCTTCACCACTTTTCTGAACAACAGCAGAATAGAGGCCATCAAGTTATTGGGGGGGGGGGGCTTCATTCCAAACAGTAAAGTTTGGAACCTAACTGAATATTTCTTCCAAATATGCCATTGCAATCTGCAATTACTATAATTAATAGCAGGTGGTTTTTTCAAGAGTAGAATGATCAGCTGAAATAGGATTAAAAAGAATTACATGCTGCAGAGTTCCGCTAAAACTGATTAAATTCAAATCCTAACTATTAAATAGAAATATTTAAAGAGTTTCAAAATCTGTTATCCTTAATATAGTTCAGTATACAGTATTGAAATTATTTTCTTGTAATGACTTGTGTGCCAGTTGTGCCTGTTTTTGGATCAGCAGGTCCTGCCTACAGTCACTCATATCCTAATACTTTTAGATGAGATTGCTGCAATATACTCTACATGGGGTGGTCCGGGCAGTTATGTGTGCTCCCAGAACAGCCTTTGTTACACCTCTGTTCCATGAGCTGCACTGTTTGCCAGTTTGCTTCTGGGTCCAATTCATGGTGCTGGTTTTAACCTTTAAAGCTCTTTATGGGATGCGGCTAGGCTACTAAGGAACTGTCTCTCCTGATTTACCTCAGCCTGCCCCATTAGAAAAGGCATGCTGCAAGTACCATCAGCTAATAATCTACATTTGGTGAGTCCCAGTGCCTTTTCTGCTTTAGCCCTGCCTTATAGAACATCCTTCCCCTCACAATTAGATTGGTCCCATCCCTTTTGATATTCGGAAAAGCCATGAAGACCTGGATATATGACTAAGCCTGGCGCTCCAGGAACTGTAGTGAACTGGAAACTTGTATAGATTGCTTCATTATTAAGGGACCATTTTATTCTCCCTTCACCTGTGGTTTGTATTTTTGGTTTTTATATTATTATGGTTTTTATATTTGTATTTGTTGTTTATATTTTCTATTCTATTTATTGTACACCGCCCAAAGTCATCTTTGGTGAGATAGGCAGCCATACAAATTTAATGGAAACTTTGAGTGGAAAAATATTTTTTCTCCTTGGTCCTCTTCACTGTGATATACAAACAGCACATACCGCAGAAATTTTGAGGAATCAAACGAGCATTAACTCCATGAAGAATGCATGGGCGTGTATGCAGATAGTCCTTATTTTGGATCACAATTTGCACAAGAATTTCGGTTGTTAAGCAAGGCAATTATTAAGTTGCACCTGATTTTGTAATCTTTTATGTCATGGTTGTTAAGCAAATCATATGGTCATTAAGTGAATCCAGCTTCCTCCATTGACTAGCTGGGAAAGTTGCAAATGATGATCACATGACCTTGGGACGCCGCATCCTTCATAAACATGGTTGCCAAGTGTCCAAATTTTGATCATCGGGATGCTGAAATAATCATGAGAGGACCGATTAGAAGTCCCTTGTTTCAATACTGTTGTAACTTCAAATGGTTGTTAAATGAATGGTTGTAAGTCAGAGACTACCTCTATATCTCGTATTTTTCATAGCATACAACTTGGAGAATGATTTGACAACACAAATTACCTTGCTTAATATCAACTTTTAGAAGTACAGTATTTATTTCAAAAGAACATTGGAATGGTAAATGGGAGGAAATGTAGGAAAAATAATAAAAGTTCCTTCATTTTAAACTTGAGGAACTACAAGAATTTTGCAGTATTCCTTTTATTTCTGTAAATGAAAGTAGTAATTGTGTCTGTTTCTTCACTGCAGGTTACATGAACAACTTACAGAATGCTGCGTAGAGTTGCTTATTTTCTATTCCTTTTTCTTTTGAATGTACTTCTGGTGACTACCTTAACTTTGTATTGATTAATAGACTACTTTGGGAGTCATTCCAGTTGGAAAAGCACAGAAAAAAAGCTGTAAAGCTAATATATTAGAAGCCAAAATGAATTAGTATCCTGGCCTGCCTGTTAATGTTTTCTGTAAAATGAATACAATAATTATTTGGAATGTAAAAATTGCTGATCTGCAAGTTACTGATAGTTTGCAAGATTTGGTTGCAGTTTATTTTCTAGTGTTATTGCCATATACTGTGAACTCCACGTAGGCATCAAGAAGGGCATCTGGCCAGTAAACTCTCAGCTCTACCCATTAATTAAGCTTTATCCGTCAAATTAAGGGACCACAGGGTCATAAAAAGAAAAATCTCTAGAGTAAAGTAAACTTAGTGTAATTATTTTAAGTATCATCATCTAGCCATTGTCTATACACTGCAGGATGTTTCCAACTATATGGTTCTGAGCTTTTTTTTTTTTTTTTACCAATTTGGCCTGCAATACTTGCTGATATTGTCAATCCATCTTGTTTTAGGTCTCTTTATCCAGTGGGATCCATTCTATGACTGCCTTGGTCCACCTACTACCAGTTCTTCTATGTGACCAGCCCATTTCCATTTCAATTCTTTTACTCTCTTGATAATATCATATACTTTCTTTTTTTCTCTAATTCATGTGCAGGTCTTTCTATCTTGTCTTGTAATGCCAAGCATGTATCTTTCCATGGTTCTGTGCGCCACTCGTAA